CCCTCTGAGCTTCCACTTAAGATGTTTGTTGTCTTTACCCTTTCTAAATTTTTAGGGGATGTATCTTTTTGTTTTCTGACTAGAACTTAATAGTGTTGATGCCAGAAACTATGATAGTAAAAGCTTTGTTTACCTGCAATTCCTGAGTATCTCACCTTTTCAAAGCGCTAATCAGTATTTAAAATGCCTCTGCAGTATGTTCTACCTCCACTTTTGGCAACGCTTCTGTAATCTGAGGCCGATTGATGACCCAAAAATTTATTTAGGCACCCCAACACCGTTACCAAATGCTTGTACAGTAAAGACGCAGTGGAACCTGTCTGCAGTCCAGCTCCCCTGCAGGGTGCACAGGAGAGAAAAGTGCCTCTGGAGGGCCTAAAACAAGAGGCCCACTTATCAAGGAAATGCCTACAGTGAGCTACTTACTTCAGATCTACCTGCTTGAAATACAATGTGAACCTTTTGTCTTTTTGCTGAAAGCAGAGACTTAGTCATGCTAGCATCCTCCTTTTCATCTATGATGCTGTTGTAAGAGAAATTGCCCAGGACACAATAGGTCCATGCCTGGTTCCCTCCTCAGCCCCAAAAAGTATGACCCTGCTGCCCTACAGAGCGTCTGAGCTCCCGAACTGGGGAGCAGTGCTGCACAAGGGGGTTTTCTCCATTTGAAGTTTTATACTCGGGAGCAAAATGCTCCTCCCGAGTGACTGGGTCAGAGCAGCTACAGGAGCAGGCATGACTCTCCAGCTTAATGGCTGATGCTGTGGCACAGCATTTGGTTATCGGGAGGCTGTGTATGAGGTGAGCAGTAGTTCAAAGGAAAAGCCCTAAAATGTGTTGTGCGAGTACTGGGTCCCCAGCACTGTGCCTGTCATTCTGTAAAAGTTTTCACCTACTGTTCCTCACATGCTGCATTATTTGGTAATGTAAATGCAGACAAAGACAGCAGAGTTCCTACCACAGCTCCAAAGACTGCTTGTGTATCTCACCTGATGGTTGTGCTATGTAAAACCCATAAACAATGAATGGCATCTAAATTCTGTTGAGGTCATACTATGTCTATGCCATTTTTTTTCCCCTCTTGGTGACTGTCCTTGATGAGGTCCCAAAGACACTCACTAAGTCTGCAGCAGACAGAAAAGCAGATTGCACCAGCAGATTTCTGGATCTTCTGTGCTAAACACAACGTTCTCTTGTGTCATATTATCTCATGTGATCTGCTAACCACCCTGCTGTCACAAATATAACAAACAGCTGTAATAAGCTATTCATTTGGGGGCAGGGGAATTGTTGGGTTACTCTTGCCACGCCATGCAAATACTACCACCCAAAAGAGGTTTGCCATATTTCAAGACTTCCTGTACTTGACAATCACAAATAGCTTCTACCTTTGCATATTCATAAAAAGAGAAATCGCGGTAAATTTGCTGGGTCACATGTGATTCCATTCAGAACTCAATAAAATCTCTTTCACTACTTTGCAAGCATTATACATGATTACAATATTTAAAAAAAAAAAAATCTGTATTAGCAATATTTCATACTTATGTCGTTCCATAAGTCCAGTCCACGATTTCTTCTAATAACTAAATAATTTTCAAGGCACTGTGATTTCAATGACTTACCCCCTGTCTCAGTAACACGGTGGCTACCTGTACTCTCTGACG